CAGTGTGGATTACCACTCTGGCATCATCCAGGCGGGTAGCCAGTTCACCCTTTCACTCCAGCTCTGTTTCTACATGGGAGATTATAGGCCTCTACCTTCTTTAAAAGAAATAATAAAATGATTTTCTTAAAAAGTAATATTCTTTAACATCTATTGGGTACATTCTAAACCCTAGCATTATCTGATTTAATTAGCACAGTTGCGTTTTGAATTAAGTACCATTCTTATTTCCATTCTACAGATCAGAAAACTGAGGTGCAGGGAGATAAGAATCTTGCCAAAGTAGTCACATAGCAAGTAGTGGGAGAGGTGGGGTTTGAATCTCAGTCTTCCTGACACTAGAGTCCAGATCCTTATTTGGAGGCAGTGCTTGACTGCATCTTAAGTGCTTAAAAACAATGCCAGGTTTATGAGCCTAGAGTGACATTTAAAAATTCTGTTTTTATGAAGTTTGTTCTATAGTCTGACCCTTCTCTCAGTGGGACAATAAAACAACACCCAGCAGTTACTCCAGCTGTTGGGCTCATGTTACGAGCTCAATAAATACTTGTTGACTGATTGTACATCTCACAAGCAATTTTGCATTTTGAAATACTTCTGTGTCTGGTTCAGAAGTGGCAGAAAAAGTGGAAGGTTGCTGGTGGCATTGTCTTCTCTAAAAAATAAGAAAAACCTTTCTATTTCTGCTTTAATTCCTTCCTTCCTTCTTTCCTTCCTTCTTTCCTTCCTTCCTTCCTTCCCCTGCTGAGACCCCCTCAACTCTTCTTCATTTGGGCTTCCTAGCTCCCAGACAAACTCACTGAGGACGGGATGCCCTGCAGGGTTTTGGCAACATAGAATTGGCCTGTAAATCCTGGCTCAGACACTTGCTGTTCATGTGACTTGGGCTCATCATATACCTCTCTGAGTCTTCACAAAATTTCTATAAAACAGGAGCAATGATAAAACCTTCTTCAGGGATATTATGAGTGTACACAATATACACTCAGTTTCTAGTTCTTATCTCTATTAATTAAATCAGTCCCATCAGAGTATGCTGTCAATTTATGTATTAAACTTAAGGTCCTTCTCAAAACTCTTCAAGTAAGGACGCCATCCCTTTGGATGGATTTAGGAATTCATGTTTACCAATACAGTTTAAAGGTGATGTTTCAGTAGGATGTATTCAGTTGCAAGGAAGAGAAAATGCTGGCCCAAACTGGCATAAATAATAAGAAAATACATTGTCCAAAGGTGTGAAGGTTGCTTCAGAGGCTGCCTGGTATTGGTAAGGACCCAGGTTTCCCAGCTCTTTCTCAGCCTCCTCTAGAGTAGACTATAACCAGTCATTGTCACAGGTTAACTGGAGCAGCAGGCAAAGGCCTCATGTGTAGATACAGAAATATCCAGAGGTGGAACACGGGCCCCTTTATTCCAGTTTCCTCTTCCTGGGAGCCAGGAAACCTCTCCAAGAAACATCCCAGTAGATACACTCTGGGCAGAACTGGGTTGCATGCTAGACTCTAATGAGGCCACTAAGTTAGGAATTACCTCTGAGCTAGGGGTGAGGTGACCATTTCCTAAGTCATGAGAGGGAGGGTGGCTCCCTGAATGAAATCCAGGTTCCATTAGCAAAGAAAAACAGAGGATTGTCTTGATCACCACCTCTTCACCCCGTTAGGGAGGAGGGATTCCCATTCTAGGGCCGTGGAGTGACCTAACACACGACACTTGACACGAGACAGATGAGACGGACAGAAGCTTGTTGGTCACCCATACGCACAGCCGTGGGGAGGAGAACACCACGCACCACACAGGGCCACATGGGAGGTGCTCTCAGGAACAGAGTATCTGTAGTATCAAGAGGGTGAGTTGTCCTTAGTTGCTGCAGAAGGATGTGGTTGGCTGGTTGGAATAATTCTGTGGGCTGGAAGGAACTGAGTCCCACTTCACAGGGTTAAGCAGGACCTATACCTGGTGCCTTCAACAAGAAGCAGTGTATGCGTAGGGGGCTTTATGGGAGCAGAATAATGGGGACGGGGACTTGGGGTTAGGCGATTGAAGGCCCTCCCAATTTTATCAGATGTCAAGGTGGCACATAATATTGAACTTTAATGTAGGACTTACACCACAGGGATGGATGTGGGATATATACATGTGGCAGATGACCATCCATCTGAGCAACCATCCCTTCCTGCCAGACATCATCCATCCATCAATCATCCATCATCCATCATCCAGCCACCCTCTCCATCTTCCACAAAGGACTGGCATTCTGACTACATCTCTGGCTGTTTTTCATGGCGTCCAGCTCACAGTTGTGAGTGGTCAACATTTGGACCAGCCCTTCTAGTCCTGTTGCCAGCTTTTCACATTTCTCAGCTCTGCACTAGCCAGTAGGGTCAACTCATTGACCCTGGAATATGCCTTTTTTCTGTTCCCCTTCTGCTTTTGCTAGAACTATCCAACTCTCTTCTCTGCTTCTTTAAATTCCCCCTCCCTTGAGTCAAATCTGACTCTTCATGTCAGCCCAGAACGCTTGTGGCAACTGCTTTGTGCGAGTGCATAACCATACACTCTTGGGTGTCACTGCATTTAAATCATCGAAGTTCTGTAAAAAAATATTTATAATGTAAATACAAAAAGCAGTATGATTAGCATCTGCCAGTGAACATTTATCTAGTATCTGGCACATAGAAGGCACTCACATAAAAAAGTGTTGAAATGTTCAGTAAAACACCAGAATAGCCAGCCTTAAAGTTCTGAATATTGTTTTTAAAAGGCTGCATATTGATTGATATGCAGAGGATTTCAGGGCTCAGAGAAATGATTTCTCTTTTGTAATCTAGGTCACTATTTAGCTGACTTCAGCATGTGCTGTGGCACCCTCACAATTTCACATCTGTGCACATGATAACATTTCACATTATCTATCTGTTGTAACTAACATGGTTCCTTAAATCTTAAATTAATTCATTTTCAAGTGTATTCTACACCTAAGCAAGAGTACTTGTGACGTCAGAGGCTTGATGTCCTAGTTATTTTGATGTATCTTATTAAAAATACAAAATTAAGATATAAAATAGTTGTCTGTGTACTACCTAACCTTATTTCATGTGCCAGATTTGGGAAACTCTAGTCTTGCTATATTGATATCTACATATTTTATGATAAAAAGCCAGTCATACACAAAAGACTACTATTGTATGTTTACTCCTGCTTGTGTGTGAACATTTTAGTAAAGGCAAAACTCTAGAGACAGCACCTCAGTGGTTGCTGGGGGCTCAGGATGGAGATCGGGTTTGACCCTGTAGAGGCACCAGGGGACTTTCTGGGGTGATGGAGATATTCTAAACCTGGATAGTAGTGATTGCTGCTCACTGTATGAATCTAGAAGAATTTACCGAACTGTATATTTCAAATGGATACATTTAATGGTTTGTAAATTGTATCTCAAAGAAAGAAAGAGGAGGAGGGGAAGAAAAAGAAAAAAGAAAAAAAAATGATCAACCAGAGAGGGCAGGAAGGGGTTTCTGGAGTCCTGGTGACATTCTGTTTCTTGATCTGGATGTTGGTTACAAGGTATGTTCGCTTTGCAAAAAATTCATCAGACCATTCATTTATGCTTTGTGTACATTTCTAGATGAATGTTATATCCCAGGAACAAAATTTACTAAAAAAAAAAACCCAAAACAATAGCAACCACAAAAAAAAACCAGCTGAAGTGGGAACACCATTTCTTCCCAAGTAATAAAAAGTTATTACTTTCCTGTTTATTATTTTGTACAATCACATTACTCTGCCAACTTAGTTTCATGGTGTTAGGGGATCAAGCTTTTTGAGTCTTAATACAGAAAGGGTTAGAAAAAGATGTATTTAGCTAATCACATAAGTGCTGTAAGACTGTCAGCAGAAGCCATTGTTTCTTAATTATTCATAGCAATTATCAACGTGGACAATATTCAACTTGCAACCAAAATAAATAGTTATTTTAAGAGACCTTGATGGAACAATCAAATCATCAGTCTCCAAAAGTGCCCCTCTCTCAGCCCAGTTCTCCCGCTGCCTGCCAGAGTTTCAATTCTATATTTATCTTTTCAAATCAGCAGTATAGCAATCAGTTATTATAATAAGAGCTACCAATTTATTGTGTGCCGACTTCACGCCAGGCACTGCATTACCAGAGTTTTTCATACTTTAATTGCTTCGTTTCATTGTCACAGCAACCCTGCTGAAGAAGAGTTGTCTTATTCCATTTTACAGTTGAGGAAACTGAGGCTGGGGGTCCAGGCCCACGTTGCTGGTGAGTGACAGAGGCGGGAGCAAGCTGGAGCCCCACCCAGTGGGCTCTGCTGTGTCACAGGACCTGACGTCAGTAACTGGAAGTAAGTGATACGTGTAGAATTCTGAATCCCCAAACATGGCTCTTCACACGGTTACTATAGTTACTTCTCTACATGATGCTCTGGGTTGTTGTTTTTTTTTTTTTTTTTTGACCAGAATAACAGTGGGTCCACTATTAGCCATTGAGGTGTTGAATCCCCACCATCATCATGAACCCCGAGGGACATTTCAATAGGTTTAAAATAGTGTTCCTGCCTCCGTAATCAGACCTTTTATTTCAGAAGCCCCTGAACATGAACAGATCCTATATGATGGCAGCTTTACAAGTATTGTTATTTGTACCTTGTGTAAAACATAGGAGCTTTCTGAAGACGATAAAACGGTATTTCAGGCAGAATTCCCCCAGAACTCCTTGACAAAAGTGATGCATTTGAGTTGGGGGGATGGTACACGAGTGCCTCTCAGTATGTTGAGGGAGGGGAAGGCATCCAGGCAGGAAAGAGGGGCCTTGGGTGTGTCAGGAAGGAGAGACTCTGGGAGGGACAGGACAGAAGAGGCAGGAGCTGTGCTTTGCGAGTGAATAAGGCTCTTGCTAAACCAGCAAACGTGCGGAGGAAGTGGTTTGGATTAGGAATGGGCGGGAGGACAACCAAGGCCTGAAATGTGTTATGGACATGCATTTAGAGCCCTGAGCTGTCAGGGAGGGTGAGAATTCAGAATCTGGAGTTGTCTTGCCTCCTGCGTGCCAGCTGGCCACGCTATGGTCAGGCAGTTTTATTCCCTTTCGGCATATAAGGACTGTCAAGGCCCCTGAGCTGCTCAGATGTGGCACACTAAGACACTCATGGGACTACAGACAGAAGCCAGCTCTTCTGATCCCTCTAATTACAGAGCCATTGTGGTGAGGAGGATGGCGACTTCCAAGGATGACCACAAGGCCTCTCTCTCAACACTGGTGAGAACCACACTCCTTCCCCTGGTTCTCTTGCTCCCAGCAGGGTTTTGGAAGCTGATTAAAGAGAAGATCAGAAATAATAGGTAATTAGAAACCTTATAAAAAGGAAAAATGCTCTCGTCAAAATTTACCAGGGCGTCTCCATGGCTGGAAGTGGGGGAGGCATTGGAAACTGCCAGCTTTAAGGGCCACTTGTGCCAGAGGGTGGCCTAGAAGCTGGGGCAAGTTGCAGAGGGTCTGAGGCCGGTCCCCAGTGGTCAAGGGGGGAGACTGTTCAGAAAGGTATCTGTTAGTCAGGGCAGCCAGTGAGTGAAGGGCTAAGGAATGCCTTTTACCAGCTCCAGAGGACCTCAGCTGGTGAAATGAGTGGCACGAGAACCAAAGGGGACCGAGGGGAAGAGGAGAGACAAATACACAGGAGAGACAGGAGCCGCCACCAAGAGAGGCAGAGTGGAGTGGGCTTCTCCACTGGCTCTTTCCTTGGCTGTTCAGAATACCCCAGGAGGGGTGGTCGGGAGGAGCTCAGCGAAGTTGTGCGTCCAGATAATGCATGCAATTAGCTGCTTTAGGGTCCCTTTCCTCCTGGGGCCCCTTGGGACTGCCCCCATCTTGGGAGGGGCTGTGGGAGCTAATTGAATGGCCAGGGGGTGCTGAATGTAGGTTTAGCCCCCATGTGACCTGCTTGGACTTCAGTAGCTCTCCAAGCAGTGGAGCTGCAACCCCCTGAACCTTTGGGGGCGCCTCCCTACCCAGGGGATCCTCACAGCCTCTCTCCCATCTTGGCTGAGACGGAGACTCCCTCCCTGCTCCCCGCAGGACCTCCCATTTGAATGTTCAAGAGGTGGTTTTAGAAACTCCCCTAAAGGGACACAGACTTTTTTTTTTTTTTTTCATTCCTGGCCCACCAGTCCTAAGGCCCCCGAGGCCTGGGTGACCCAGGTGAGGTGGGGTGGGAGGGGGTGCTCCCCGCTGTGGGTGCTCATCCAAGAGGTTCACCCGGCTGTGGGGGCTGAGTTTCCTTTGCTGGTTCCTCTCCCCACCTTGTTTACTTTTCTCTCTTTGGCGCTCTTTCATTTCTCCACTTAGTAAACCTTATTGACCATTTCCCGTGGCCACGGTCATCCCAGGTGAAGAGAGGCACTGAATGAAGACTGAGACACAGCCTTCTGTGTCACATTCCAGTTGGTAACGGACAGTCATAAACAGTGAGCATTTATGTTCAGTGGGGGCGAGTGGGGCGGTGACTTGGGAGCCCAGGGATGGGGAGGGAGGGTGAACAGACCTAAAAGGGTGGGGGTGGAGGCCAGGGAGGTCTCCCAAAGTTGGGGGAACTGGTGCTGCTTCCTGCTAGGGTGCCACATAAAATACAGGATGGCTTGTATTTAATGCAATATTTGTGACATACTAAAAGGATTATATGTTTTTTATCTGAAATTCAGATTTAACTGAGTGGCTTGTACTTTCCCTTGCTAACTCTGGCAACCCTAGTTCCTGATGACTATGCAGGAGTTAGTGGAATGAATAGAGGGACAGGAGGGAAGGGCATCCCTGTAGAGGGAACAGCATATGCAGAGACCTGGCGGTGACCATGCTTCATTTAAGGAACTGAACATTGCCCAGTGGCTGGAGCATGGAGTCCATGGGGAAGGGAGAGAGTGGAGAGAACCCACCGAATTGTCATGTAGTCGATGAGAATGTGCAAAGTACCAGGCACGTCATGAAGATGTAGGGTGCAGTTGTGAGCTAGACAGATAAAACTTCTGCCCTCAGGGAGCTCGTGGTTCAGTGGAGAAGCAGGGAGGTCGGGAGGGAAGGACAGGCACTGTGGTGGTTACAGCTGGGGGACATCAGCCTGGCTGGGACCGGTCAGGGAAAGTCAGGAGGGGCATCTCTGAGGAGATGACAACATGCTGAAGGATGAGGAGACAGGCGTACAAAGGGCTGGGGGAAGAGTGTTTTAAGCTAAGGGAACAGCATGACGGAGGCCCTGAAGTGAAAAAAATGCGCAGTGGGTCCTGGATACCGAAATGTGGTCAGAGGGGCTGGGGCCCTGAGAGAGGAGGGGCAGAGGAGGAGTAGTCAGGGGCCGGATCCTAAAGGCAGTGGGAACCATTGAAGGAGTACAAAGCAGGGAGGGTGACACAACCAGCTTTATGTTCTTAAAGGTGACTCATGCTGGAGAGAGAAGGACGGATGGGTAGTGTGGGGGCAGAGAGAATGAGGGAGACCGGGAGGGGCTACTGCAGATGTCCGGGACGGACAAGTTGGTGGCTTGGCCCATCGTGATGGTGGTGGAGAAGACAGGATAGGGAAGGAGCGATGGGTCCAGGCTGCACGGAGGAGGAAGACTTGGCAGGGCTGGGTGATCTGGCACTGGGAAGTGAGGGGGTGGGAGGAGCAGACATGACTCAAAGCTTCTGGTCTGGACAGATGGGTGGATGCTGAGCTGAGCTGGGGACTTGGGACGTTTAGGGGTGGTGAGGCGAGAGGGTTCAGGTTTGCACATGTTGAAGGTGAGGAAACTGGTGGTGGACACAGGAGGATGGACTCCACTGTGAAGGAGGACAAATCTGAGGCAGAGCTGAGTTCCAGTCTCTTCTGACACTCGGCTCTGTGGCCTTGATCACCGACTTCACGTCCCCTTGCCTTTGTTTTCTTATCTGTATCATGGGAGGATGTGGGTAATCCTCGTAGTTGTGAGGGTGTGGTGGGCAGCCTCCAAGATCTTCCCTAAGGTCTCCCACTCCTGGTATCCAGGTCCTTGTGTGGTACCCTTTCACACTGCAGCAGAGTTGATTGAGAGACCACGGGTATGTCACTTTCAAGGCTGGGTTAGAAAAGATGTTATGGCTTCTCTCTTAGCTGACTCACTCTGGGGGACACCAGCCACCATATCGTCAGGAGAGACTCAGGTGAGGAGGAACTACTGCGTCCTGCTAAATACATGAGTGAACTTGGAAGCAGATGCTCCAGCCGCAGCCAAGCCTTTAGCTGATGCAGCCCCAGCTGACATCTAGGCTGATGGATCCACTACTTACCTCATCTGCTTCCGAATTCTGGACTGTCAGAAACTGTGAAATAAGAAACATTTGTTGTTATAGGCCCCTAAAGTTTGGGACATTTCATGATGTGGCCATAGAGAACTGATCCAGAGAGTAAAAGGACTCAGCACAGTACCTGGCACATAGTAGGGGCTTTAGCATATGCAGCATCTGTAGATCTGGAGTGTAGGAGAGAGGTCTGGGTCGGAGGTATGGGTTTGGGAATCTTAGGGCTTAGAGACAATACTGGAATCCATGGAGGGGGCTGAGCCAGTCCACAACAAGGGGGAGACGGAGAAGAGAGGCTGGCCTTGGCCAGAAACCTGGACAAAAGGAGTGGGTAAAGCACGAGGAGGATGTCTCCATGAGCCTGAGAGGAGGAGCTGCAGGGGAAGGAGGAAAACCAGAACAGGCCATGGGGAGAGGTTGTCCCTAGGAGGGTGTGGTCAGCGGGGAGGCCTGACAGGAGATCTGGGGAGTGTTTTTTGGCTTCAGCAACAAGGAGATTCCTGGTGGCGCCACAAGAGCTGTGTAGGTGGAGAGGTGGTCTGAGGCCAGATTGAATGTTGTGGGTCTGGATGTCACTGTAAACACTTTCTACCCCCAAGCCCCAAACCAAGATGGTTTACAGGAGAATTCTGTAGAAAATCTGAACCACAAAAAAACCCCTAGTCTTACAAGAGTTGCTCTAGTGAGTAGACACCCATTTGCTTAATTTATTTTATGAGGCTCATGTAATTTTGCTAGCAAAACCAGATAAGGAGAGAGTAAGAGGAAAATGGTAGGCATATCTCATTCATAGAAATGGATATAAAAACCCTAAATAAAATGTTGCCAACCAAAATCCAGCACTATATTGAAAAAGTAACACATCATCAAGGTGTGTTTATTCCAGGAAAGCATGGATAGTTTAAAATAGTACAATCCATGGTTGTAATTAATTACATCAGGGGGAAAATCTCACATTTGATAAAATTCAACACCCATTCATAGTAAAGCAGAATAGTACTTCCTTACTCTGATAAATAGTATCTACCAAAAATTTACAACAAACAGCATGTTTAATGGTGACATATTAAAGGATTCAGAATAAGATAGAAGTGCCCACTGTCACCATTGTTATTCAGCACTGTGCTGGAGATTTTCAGTCAGGGCAGTAAAACAGGGAAAAGGAAATAAAGACTGGACAGGAAGATACCAAATGTTACTCCTTGTAGACTCTGTAATTACTTACATCGAAAATTCAAGAGAGTGTATAAACTTATTAAAACTAAAACAGGACTAAGTTAGAACTAAAAAAGCGTTGACTGAATAGAAGTTTATTATATAAAACCAATCACATTTCAATAACCATAAATACATATGAAATATAAATTTACTTCGAGATGTGTAGGAATCATTCTGAGAAGAACCACTGACAAAGGTAATTCCTCTCAGTTTTTAGTTGAGGAAATAGAAGCCCTGAGAGGGGAAATAACTCTTCCAAGGACACCAGTAAGCCAGGTGGCACCGAATCCTACATCTCTGAGTGTGAAATAATTTCAGCTTTGTCTTTTGTGAAAAATAAAGACTCATTGTATTTTTCTGATTATAAATTCAGTACCATGCATTTTAGAAAATATAGAAAAGTCAGAAGAACGTTTGGAAGTAATAAGTCACTAACATTCCCATTCTGCTACCTAGAATTATGATCAATGATTTGATGTATTTCCTTCGAAATTTTTATCTCTGCATATTTACATTAAAAAAATAAGATTAAGCTTATACCATTTTGTGTACTGCTTGTTTTCACACACATTTCCCTGTATCCTCACCTAGACTTTTTGGTATGATAATGTAGTACTTAATTATATTGATGCAGCATATGTCATTTCTTTAACCTATTGACTTGGGTTTTCAGAGAAAAACCAAATGTTAGATATGACTGTGATGATCGTGCAGATAAAAGTTAAACCCCAGAGTCAGCTCACACACAGGCAGATGTAAAGTGCAAGTAAGTCTCCAGGGCAAGTGGTTATATTGGTGAAGGGGAAATAGCGAAACAAACATCATATACCTCGTCCCACCTGGAAGGGGGTAGAGACCTGGTTAGCAGGAAGCGAATGAGATTTGGAAGGAGTCTATGCCTGGAGAACAATTAACTCTGAGACTTTAGGTAATTCCCCACCCTCTGTATCCTTGGCTTTCTTCGGTGAAATGAGGACAGTTCGGGTACGAGCTTCATCTAGGACCAGCTCCTTTGCTTTGGTCATTTTCTTTGCTGGAGTCAGCTCTGCTCTTCTCCCCTTCAGGCTTGGCTGCCCTTGCCTACCCTGACCACCAGGCTGGATAGGTAACCTTACTACCTATCCCACAGAGGGCAAGGCCAGGAGGTGCTCTGGCCACAGTTCCGGAGTCCAGATCTTTAGCCACCGCTTCTGAAGCAGAGGCCCCCTCCCCTTATTCTCCATCTAATTTCTTTGATTATGTACCTACCTTCACTTAAAATCATAACTTATCATTGTTTTGTCTACTGTCCTTGGGTCTTTTCGGTTTTCTCCTCTCATTAGGACCCTCCTCCCTTTTGGTGGCCGCTCTACCCGCCAGGCACATGGTAGGAGCCCCATACGTCTTCGTGAAATGACAAGAGAAACAGCTGTGGGGACCCTACGCCTGAGAACCCGGCGAAGACTACCCGGGGCTGGGCTGATCCCAAACTGCGGGCGGAGGCGGGACGTAGGGCGGGCTCTGGGCGGGGCGCGGGGTCTAGGGGCGGAGCCTCAGGGGGCGGGGCTGGATGTTCAGGGCGGGGCTCGGGACTGCTGCGGCGGAACCGCCTTGACTGCGCCGCTCAGGCAGCGCCTAGTTGA